TTGTGCTTACCTTAGATTCCTCTCAGACTCCAGAGGCTCTGATCGTGAAACTGTCAAACCTGCTGCTGCTGCAGCTCCTTTTATTGTGAATTCACTGTCAGAGAGCCAAGCGACGTCCACAAAAGGCTGACCTCAGGGTTATCCCACACCCGGTCACCCTGTGTTACAGCACTTCTCAGCTTGTTTGCTGTCGTTGTTGTATTGTTGTTCTTATTGTCTCTCTGTCTTTCTCTCTCTCTCTCTCTCTCTCTCTCTCTCTCTCTCTCTCTCTCTCTCTCTCTCTCTCTCTCTCCCTCTCCCTCCCTCCCTTCCTTTCTCTCTCCCTTTGTTGATCCTATAAGCTTTCAGTCTCAGGTCATTAAATAAAGAGTTCCAGGTGACGTCACATTAACCAACACACACACAATCACACGCACCTCCTGCATGCAGCCTGGCACGGCCTTTCTTACCTCCTCTCTCTCTCTCTCTCTCTCTCTCTCTCTCTCTCTCTCTCTCTCTCTCTCTCTCTCCTTCCCTCACACATGCACACTCACACTGAGGCAGGACAAGGATGCTAATTCCAGGAACCTAAAACTGTAGTATTTGTTTCTTCTTTTATTTCCTCAAATTTCTTATTCTGCCTTAACATGACTATAGAGACACACCTACACAAACACATAATAATCACATGCAATACATCAATACTGTGTTTGTACGGTAGCTGTCTGGACTTAGTGTCCTTACAGTCTCTCTGTTCTGTGCCAATAGAACTCCTTTATCGCTGGAGATTGGCCACCAGCTTAAGCCTTCTCTTTAAGAAACACAGCAGCTCTTCATACAAGACTGTGAATGAAATGACCAACCATGCAACATTAATTAGAACAGACTGCAGGAAAGCATCTCCTCTTATTCCAGATGTAATCAGTCATTCGAGACATGTTTAGTATTTGAAGCTTGCTTCTACAGTTTTGCACTGGAGCAATGAGGCCAATGTAGCTAGCAAATAGTAGAAGTAATAGAAGTACCACCAATTAACTATCTGAAAACTGCATGCTTACATTTTCACACAGTTGCAGTAAAAAAGTTGCTGAGGCTGCACTATATAAGATTTCGGGATTTGGAGACCTCTCTGGTGGAAACACGTAATTGCATGCAACCTGCTGGAAGAACTTTTTTTAAATGCTGGTTGTGCCTCTGACCCCTTCCCCAATCTGATGATTGCGAGCGTGTTATAAGAGTAAAACTTGGTGTAGGGCATGTTTTCTGAGGGTGTAAGTGAATGATCTACTATTGTCATCACATCTTCATCAGTATTATGTTGATTTTGCATTTGAGACCTAAACATCAAGCTGGACCTTCTTTATTAAGTGACCTTTATTAGTCCCACAACAGGGAAATTTCACCTTTGTGCAGTGAAACACTACATACACACTAGTGAACACACACACACTAGGGAGCAGTGAGCACACTTGCCCAGAGCGGTGGGCAGCCCTATCCGCAGCACCCGGGGAGCAGTTGGGGGTTAGGTGCCTTACTCAAGGGCACTTTAGTCACGTACTGTCAGCTCAGGGGATCGAACCGGCGACCTTATGGTCACCGGGCTGGTTCCCTAACCTCAAGCCCATGATTGCCCCGTGTGAGCAGTATGAGCCTGTGTGTGTGCTGTTTATATGTAAACATGTACAATGTGGTCTGAAAAACTCCAGTGAAATGATTCAAACTCTCTGACTTTCAAATTACTGTGTCAGGCTTTACAGGATGACTCAGCATGTTTTTTCCTCCTGACTCAGTATTACTACTTCTTTCAATTTCAACAAAATTTACGTAATCTCAAATAGACTTGTTCTTGTGGTTTCTGACACTGTGTGACATCAACAAAAGTATCCCATATACTTAAATACAATAGTAACTGCTTGTTTTTGTAATTTTTGTATTTTTTTGTCAGTATTTGGCAGCACACTTTGGTTCCTAACTATAGTTAAACAACAGTACTCATGTACTGTACTGTACTTATGATCACCTACTTATACCCCATGCCCATGCCTGCGTGAAGGTTTTGGACACCAGCTCATTCAGTGTTTCTTCTAAAATCAAGGGTATTAATAAAGAGTTTATCTGCCCTTTGCTGCAGTAACAGCCTCTGCTCTTCTAGGAGAGCTTTACACTAGATGATGGAACATTGCTATGAGGATTAGATTGCTTTTAGCTACAAAAGATTAGCGAGATAAGGTCTTAAACCCCAACATACCCATTAGACATTGTGACCTTAGGCTCATATGCAGCTACTCCAGTGTCACGTTCATTGGCAATGCTTTTCTATGGAGATTATACAAACTGTACATGTGCATTTGAATGTCAGCAATGGGTGTATCTTAAAGTAGCTGAATTGGATACCTAAAACGCATCCTGTTTCAAATCATGTTATTCCAAGCTTTACCTCCAGAGGGTGCAAGACTCTCAGCAGATAACACCCAGGGTCTTTTCCACCCAGTTGAGCAGGTGGGACAGTTCTCCTGCTCCTCACACATTCCACTAGCACCAGGAATTTATCTGCATTTTTAAAATACGCTTGACTGCTTTTAAAGTAAGAGACACAGTGCAATATATAAATATATATATATATATATATATATATATATATATATATATATATATATATATATATATATATATATATATGTATGTATGAACATATAGCATTGCTGTGTCTGAGGCAAGTGAAATTTGGGTTTTTAGACCAGGAAAATACCCTTCTGATGATTTATCTTGAAAGAGGGAGGAGACTTTTAAAAACTACAGCTGCTCTTTGGCGGATTTTTGGGGTGATTTTTTATTTTTTTCACTAGCCAGTGACTATATAGCTAGCATTACTGCTAGGAAGTCAGATGTTATTGCAAATGTATAATCATGAAATCTGTCTTTATATAATCACTACAGTGGAGAAAATGAATAACTTCTCTCCACTCATTAGAAACAACTCATTGGATGAGGAGGACAAACAGCTAAAAGCTAGCTACCTGGCTAACTGGATACCTCAATTTGGCCTATTTTTCTCTGATGGGAAGGATAAAAACTTGCATCCATTTTGTGCTGAGTAAAGACAGAATTGATGACTGAGGTAAGAGTTAATTCTAGCTTGATTGTATTTATTAGCCTACAGCTCAGTGGCTAGGCTGGCAGTCAGTTTGAATCACAGAGATTCCCAGTGGTTGGATGACATATTTGTGCAGTGTCCCCAGTACTGTTGTGAAAACATGAAAATGATATAAAACATAAATTCTGTTAACCCGAAGAAGCTGAGTGATATAAAGCTGCCCAAAATACTACATAGCATGACAACATATTAAATGCCAGTTTTAGGTCAGAATGCTCTTTAAGGTGAACCCATTGCTGACATAGATGTTCAATTGAACACACAGCTTGTATAATCTCAACGGAAAGGCAGTGCCAATAGAATGGGATGTGTTGGAGCAACAGCACATGAGCCTAAAGTCACCATGCTCAATGCCAAAAGTTCACTAGAGGGGTATAAAGACACCCGGCACTGGACTTTGGAGCAGTGGAACTGCATTCTTTGGAGTGGTGGAGCTCCATCCAATGCGTTTGAATAAGTTGGAGTGACATTTGTGGTCCAGAACTGATCATCCAACATCAGTAAGATAAGATAAGATAAGACAAACACAACAGACAGTATAGGCAGACATTATAAACACAGACATAGGAACTTTAAATGAAGTGAGAATAAGCAAGAGTATAAACAGCTATAGACAATATATAACTACAGTTCTTATAGTACCTGACCTCACTAATGCTCTTATGGCTAAATGCATTCAAATTCTCACAACACAGGGGGGACAAATATCTTATTAATACCCTTGATTTTGAATCAAATGTTAGATGAGCAGGTGTTTATAGATCTTTGGACATTTGGATATCAATCTGATAAAATGCTTTACTAAATAAGGCTCTGAAAAACTGTAAATTATATACAAATTAAACTTTTTTCCCTATTAGTATCATACAATGGGGCCCATTACTCAATGGGATCATTTTAGTTTATGTTTCTCATGAAGTACCTTGGAAGGTTTTTACCAAAACATCTGTATTCAGTCAAAGTTACATTTGGAAAATTCTGAATACAGTTACTTTTAAAATATTTACCCACTAAATAAAAACAAATGTACAATCTTTAAAAGAAACACCATCAGTGCTTGTTTATCAACTATTTTAAAATCAGTGAACTTGTGCAGTAAACTTGCTCATTAGAATCTAAATGGGAACCCAACAAATGGCTTCTTTACTGACACTGAAGATCCTGCTGAAAAATTGATAAATCAAGATGACGAGGCAGTTATTAATCTCGAAACTGAGCTCTTTAGAGAGCTGCTTTAACTGATCTCCTCATTAGTGGACATATTGCAAGTGTTGTACTGGAGTTGTGCGTTTAACTGAAAATCACATAGCTAACCACTTTATAGTCAAATTTGTTATTGGGGTATGGCAAATCATTTGCTGAGTTCATGAGACAGCTGGCAGTCCTGCTGAGGTAATCATGGGAAGGGCAGTGGTGAAAAATGATTGTGCAAAACTTTTTAAAATGTAAGGATTTCATTCAAATAATAGGAACAGTTCCAACAGCCTCATCAAGATGTATTCTAAATATTCTCTGAATATGCATTACTGTATGCATTTAGGACAGTGTAATCTATTTCAGCCACCACTACTTTTTAAAGCACTCTTTGAACTCTGTGGATGATCACATTTAAATTCAGAAGTGATGTGAATCTTAATTATTAGTCTTAATTCATAGAAAAGTCTAATCACGATGCTTAAAGAGAGAAAAAGAGAAAGAGGAGCCAGAAGAAATGGCAGAACGTATTAATAAACAAAGAACGGGAAGAGGAGGAGTGAGGCTGCAACGCACTGTAAAAGTACAACAGAGGGAGGGCAACAAGTAGGGAGGAGAGAGAGAGAGAGAGAGAGAGAGAGAGAGAGAGGGAGAGAGAGAGAGAGAGAGAGAGAGAGAGAGAGAGAGAGAGAGAGAGAGGGGGGGAAAGTTCCACCCTCAGAGAGAATCGAGCACAGCAGCTGTTCAGGACAGACCCACCGCAGAGGAGCCAATGGCGAAACACATGGACAGGGGGTGAGGACGCTGATGAAGGAGGGATGAGTGCGTCTGGATCAGAAAGCAGGCTCTGGGCTTTGAGGTCCAATCAGAAAGGGCACAGGCCAGGCTACAGCCATGAAAGTGTGAAGTGTTAGATGGACGTTCAGAAAGAGGAACTTCGGGGAAAAGATCAGGAACTGAACATAAACAGAGAGCAAGAGCATGTTACAGTAATACAATAGCAGTACCTGAGAGAGAGAGAGAAGTAGAGAGAGAAAGGAGAAGACTAGAGGGAGCCACAAAGTTAACGTGGGGAGAGAGGGTGAGAGAGGGAGAGAGAAGAGAAAGAGAGAGAGAGGCAGGGAGAGAGAGAGAGAGAGAGAGAGAGAGAGAGAGAGAGACACACCAAAAAAGGGCTTGAGCCAGCGCTGGAATCACTGCTTGCTTGACAAACGCACAGACGCGTGGTGAGAAGAATAAGGCAACAACAGAGAGAGAGAGAGAGAGAGGGAGAGAGAAAGAGAGAGAGAGCGAGAGAGAGAGAGAGAGAGAGAAAGAGTGAGAGAGAGAGAAAGAGTGAGAGAGAGAAAGAGAGAAAGAGAGAGAAAGAGAGAGAGAGAGAGAGAGAGAGAGAGAGAGAGAGAGAGAGAGACACCCTGACTGATTTGTGAGGAGCATTAAAGCCTTGAGCCCAGACGGTGGGGGACAGGGTGCACTCAGTCCTGGGTACGTGTGCTGCAGTGCTTTTTTAAGTTTCTTGTGTAGATTTATGGTCAGTGTGAACAGGCAGTGTTCTTTACGGGATATGGAGCGGAGCTGGGGCTGAACACAGCTCTACAGCTGTGCTGTGCCACTATGTCGTCGGGCCCTGGGCCCCGAGAGGCCCCGGTCCTACGGGAGAAATTGCTGAAGGAGCCTGGAGGGGCGGATGAAAGCGGGGCATCGGGCCCTGTGGGCCTGCAGACGCTGCTGGACCTTCTGGTGGGCGTCTACCAAGAATTCCAGTCGTCCAGCCCGACCAGGGACAAATACATCGGCCGCTTCCTGCAGTGGGGTCAGTGCCATTCATTCACACCTCAGAGTCCTTCTGTCTACCATTCTAAAGCTGAGAATCACTGTTTTCACTACCATAAAACCAACTTATATATGTGAAAACACTGAATTAAAAAGCCCCCAAAAAAACGCTAGCACCCCTACAGAATTCTAGTAATATGTTAGTGCTAAGCTAACAGCGATTTACATGAATATTTTTTGTCTGTTTTAAGTTAAAAACATTCAATTCTTTGCTTTTTTAACATGTAAAAGGCAAATTCATATATATTTTTCATTGAAGCAGTTTTACAGTGACTTCTTCAGCAAAAAGCCCTGACATACAGCTGCTGAATTTTTAACAACTGACTGAAACACACTGGTGATGCTACCTCTCGTACTCACAGCCAGTGACTTATCTAGCAGGCGTTGAGTGATGTTTTTACTCACAAACTTGGTTCCACCCACTGGAAATTAAAACATAATTGGTAAATTCCACTGTCAGTTCCTAATTACATTAGCAGTTAATCTGATACATTAGGCCTTCGGTCCTAACCAATAGAATATCATGTTTAGCTGTATTTGCTTGGATACCATAAAGAAAAAAATCCTGATTGGATAATTTTCTGCTGGGTGTGTCAAGAATTTAACCAAACTTAGCAATGAAATAATATTATTACTGCAATATATACAGAGTTTAAATGCAATACATATGATGACTGAGTAAAAAAGGACTAAAAATCACAGATTACATTTTTTTTATTATTTCACAGAAATAATAAGGCTTTCTCTGGAGACCTAATTATTTCTCTGAAGGCCAGTGGTGCCTAGGTTTTATATAATTTGTAAGAAACTAAGTTTTAAGTGATGCCTAATATTTCAAATATGATGATAAAATTTACACATAAGATGATAAATGCTATATTACTATATTTATCATTTAAATCCTACATATCCTACATTTTTTTTCTTAAGGTCCACTTATTTTGATTATTTTCCATGTATGGACTGTGCAGACTGAGGAGCAAATGGTATGTTTTGAAATTTTAAACCTGTTTACATATTACATCACGCTCTTTTCTTAAGAAAGGAAGGGTGAAAATTCAGTTTTCCCAGATTTGGGCCTTTTATTAACCTCTTGTTGTTCCCAGAATACATTTAAACACTATATAAAAACACCTTTTAGTGTCTAATCGATGTATATAACATAACAAATGTCATTGATATGACAAGTGATTCCAAACTTTGTACGGTAGCATGTGTGTGTGTGTGTGTGTTTAGTTGCTTGGTAACTGAGTGTGGAGCTCCAGCGGGCTCCGGCAGGATGTAGCTGGGAGGTGAATATGAACACAAGGTCGTGAAAGAGAACGCTATTCTGAGGTCATGTGGTCACGCGGGTGTGAATGTGCGCCAAAGTCACCATGTGTCTCCAAATCCAGAGCTGGGGGGCATCACAAGACTCTCTCTTTGCGTTTCTGTATGTGTGTGTGTGTGTGTGTGTGTGTGTGTTTGGGTGATGAACTGACCAGATCAAAGCAAAGCAAAGATACAAGAGGATCAACTATCATCCCTTTATGACAAACTTAGCCGACGCTGACACATCCATGTGTACCACACACACACACACACACACACACACACGCACATACACACATATACTTGGGGCAGGCTGTGTTGACGTTGGTCCGGTCACCCTGTACATGGAGGTCTGCAGGGAGAAGGCATGGCCAGAATCAACACACCGGCAGAAAAAGACTCTGACACAGAGACACAAATAAACTCTTCTATTAGTGCCATATACACTGTATATACACTGTATTGTTTATTTACTTTTTAGTCAAAAAGGCCATTAAGTTATTCATTTTTCAATATCAAATAAAAAAAATAAAAAAAGCAGAAAACATACATTTCACAGAAACTTACACAGGAGCCACAATGATTAAATATTATATCTAATCTTTAGTGTTTAGTGCGTCCGCACTTTGCCTTTATTACAGCTTCTTTTCTTTTCAGGAGACTTTCAGTTTTTCAAATCTGGAGGGATATTTTTCCAATCCTCTAACGTTCAGCATTAGAATTGTATATGTCCTGCAACCACACATACACAAAACATGATAATATTAATTAAAAAAATAAATTACATATTCAATTATATTGAGGTCTGGACTCTGGGGTGGTCAGTCCATTGTTTTGAGAACACCAGCAGCAAATTTTCTTCTTTTTAGTCTATTTCTCATAAGAACTTCTTGACAGCAACACATCCTTTCAGACTCATAGCACTGAGTTGTCCTGTCTCAGTGGAAGGATGGACAGAAACACCTGTGGATTTTTTTTACCTGAAGTAAGGGGAGCTTGAGTTTCTCCTGTTCTGTTTATCTGATGGTGACAGTTTTGATGGTCTACCAGGTCTTCCATGGCCGTTAGGACTTCCATTTTCTCTGTATCTTTTCATCATTTTTGGAACTCCAGGTTTGGAAACTCCTCTTTAACTAATTTCCTTTGACTTCCTTTTAATCCTTTCACAAGTGAATTATCTCTTCCAAGATATCTCCTGAAAGATAACTTAACCCTCTATTGCATGATGTTCCCTCTAGGCAACAAACCCATTTTCCTCACTTTACACTAACATTATACATATTTAACAACAATTACAGGGTTAATAATAAAGGGAAGAGTTCGAGTGAGTCAATAAAAAGCATGTATTTGGTCATAATATCTTTTAGTGATTACTTTTAAACCCCTTTTTTAACACTCAGTATCAATTTTTTTTGTTATGAGAATTTGCGGAAGTATATTTGTTGAAGCAACATTATAGGACAGTGGAATGAATTCAGCCAGTCACAAGCCAGATCTCACCACTTCAGGGAACACAGCTTTATATCATTTCTTCCCATTGTTGTACAATGTTGCCTCAGGGCAACATACCGCAAAAGGATCCCTGCACACATTACTATTTAAAAATGTTGAATTGAATAATCAGCTTGATTTTATGCAAGAAAAGTGAGCCAAATATTTTTTAATTGCTCTGATAATAGGGTTAATAGCTATTTTTAAATTAAATGTAATAAATGAAGGGTATATATATATATATATATATATATATATATATATATATATATATATATATATATGTTGCGGTATGTTGCCCTGAGGCAACATTGTACGACAATGGGAAGAAATGATATAAAGCTGTGTTCCCTGAAGTGGTGAGATCTGGCTTGTGGCTGGCTTGTGATAGCAAGGACTAATGCAAACTGTGCAGGAACAGATGACCTATCATCTCCACCTTTATATCTACATGGAGAACCAACAACGTAGAACAGCAAGTGGACATAATGTTAAAAAACTCAGCACTGCTGTGTCTGATCCACTCATACTAGCACAACACACACTATCACACTACCACCGCATCAGTGTCACTGCAGTGCTGAGAATGATCCTGCTCTGTGGTGGTCCTGTGTCATCCTGGCCATTAATGAATATGGTAAACTGACAAATTATGTGGAAAGATAGATGGACTATAGATGGACTATAGTTTGTATAGCTGTAAAGTTGCTGTCTGAACAAAACCTTGTATTTCCAAAAAAGTAACTTTAATGGAGAAGTAAAAAAAAGTCTTGATTCGAAATGTTAACACTTCTTCTACAGAGAACACACTTCTTCACATTTTATTGCACAATTATTTGATGAATTTAACATATTTGGGAAAAAACACAAAATGTGGCCTGTGCAAAAGTTATTACATTTTCTATAATATTTTGTAACATGTTAAACTCAGCAAATAAATAGAAAGTGTGCTCTAAAATTAGCAGAAAACACCATATTCAAGTTTGTTCCCTGTATTAACTGCAACAAACCCTGCCATTTGAGTCATAATATTTGCGTATGAATATATATGTATATAATGATGTGGTCATATATTTATGTATATATAATATGTGTACTATACACTGTACTACTCTTCTGCTGCATTACTGGATGCTTGTCATGAGACACTCCGTAGTATTGGTGTGTATGTGTGAGTGTCGGAGTACACACACAATGCCAGAACAGCTGAATCTCTGGGTATTCAACAGGTGCTAGAAAACCAGCAGCCACTGACATACTGGACAGAGCAAAGCCAGAGGAACGGGTGAGATATTTTTGAATAAGTCACAATAAAATCTCCAACCCCCCACACAGTCAGCTGCTGGCAGCCCATCAGATGGCCTAGAGGCCAATGAAAACCTGTGTGTGTATTCTTTAGAGAGAGAGAGACAGAGAGAGAGAGAGAGAGAGAGAGAGAGAGAGAGAGAGACACACACATAGATTCATTGTCATTGTCTGTGTTGTAGTGATATTTCCATTTATGTGGCTGGCAGGCTGTTTGGCTCTGGTCCATGAGGGGGAAGTGGTAAACAGGAGGAAGGGAGTGGTGGAGAGATCCACACTAAACTTTCCACAGGCACACATTTGGGCCTTGAGGGTGGGGGCTACCTCAGGCACCCCAGCATGGAAGCAGAAAGGCTGGGGTTGAGAGGCTTGCTGTCAGTTCAGTTCAGTGAGTTTGGTAGAGTGATCAGTGAGTGGGTTTTGATCAGTGGGCGAGGCTGAAAGGTGTGAGTGTGAAAGGCGGAGTTCAGTAGAGCTACAGCAGGATGTTCCCCTGCACAGGAACATAACTGTAGCATTTCCTGAGTGCTTAACCTTTATTAAACCAGTTTATTTACAGGGTACAGACGACATGCAGAGTGAAGAGTGTTATATCTATATATACCTCCCACTGTCTGTATACATGCCTGCATATATAAAACACTGCTGTACCAGCGCAAGACCCCCCACGTTAGTTTCGCTGCTGTAAAGTGAATAGTCCACCACTCAACTAATATCTGGTCCTGTGGTGGCCCCTTTCCACTGATTACAATATGTATACCTACAAAGTATGTACAAAGTACAAACTTAGATATGTGTGTGTGTGTGTGTGTGTGTGTGTGTGTGTGTGTGTGTGTGTGTACTTAAAACTGCATACCAGAGTTTACTGCAAAA